CACACACACACACACACACTGTCTATCAGCCGCCCACCTTTTCCCCGGTCCCGATGGTCTCCTCTCGCGGCCTGACCAAGTCCAACTCCTCGGACTCGACTCCCCTGCTGGGATTCGGCGGGTCAACCTCTGCCTCACCGGCCCTGCGATCGTCCTTCTTCCCGTCAACCACCTCTCTCGGGTCATCGGGCCTCTCCTCCTCGACGACACAGCTCCCCTCGTCCGCGGCCGCGGCTGCGGCGGCAGGCGGTCCCAATGCCGGCGCTGCCGCCGGCGGGACCCATCTCAGCTCGAAGGACGCCCGCGTGGACAAGAAAATCCGTCGCGGGGGCGTCTACCTGTCCATTTTGCTGGTTCGCTCGGACGACGAGCGCATTTTGACCAACACATCCACCGGCCTGCTGCCCACGGTGAAGGTATGTCCCGGGCTCTCCTCTTTGTGTGTGTGCCCACCGCGGTTGCCGCTTGCCAAGCCGGCCCCGGACCCCGCCTCCCCCTCGGCAAATGCCGCATCCATTGACCTCCTTCCCTCTGGCCACCGCCCCCCTATTCTTCTTCCTCCTCCTCCTCCTCCTCGTCCTACCCCCTGCGGGGGCTCGTTCGCGCACCCAGATCTGCGGCGACCACCCGCATCCCGACCAGCTGGACTCGGCCAGCGCGGAGTCCCATTGGATGCTTCGTCTGTCCAAGGACTGGGAGGCCCCGGTGCGCTCGGTGTCGGCATATTCGAATGCGGAATTCCGGTGTCCGGCGCTGGTGGAACGCATGGCCCGGTCGGCCAGCCGGTCCTCCGAGGATGCATCTTCCTCCCTGGGCCCGAAGCCCCCCGTGGCCAGCGAGGCGGCGGCCTCGTTCGGCATTTCGGCCGACGCCCCGGTCCCCCGGCAGCCGGCCATGGATGCCGAGCCACTCGACTCGGCCTCCACCCAGTCTCTCTTCGGGTCAACCTCGTCGCTCGGCAGCGCCAGCGCCAGCGGCGACGGCAGTGGCCGGCACTCGGCCACCGACGAGGAAGATGACGATGACACCCCCTCGATGGCGTCCATCGCCGATCGCCGGGTGGTATCGCTGTCGCCGCTGGACGTGCCTTTGGAAGGCACCGGGGCAGCCGGGCCGTGGCGCGGGGGCCCAGCCTTCGGCGGTCGGTCCCTTTCCGGGACGCTGCTGCCGGACGGTGCGGGCCCCGGGGCCGCGGCGGCGGCGGCCGCCGCCGCCGCCGCCGCAGCCACCGGGCCATCCTCGCGTACCCTGTCGCCCCTCGGCGGGGAAGGCCTCTCGGGGACCGCCTCGCCGCTGACTCGCAGCACCTCGTCTCTGGGGATGAGCGGGGCCCCGGTCTTCTCGCCGCGCTCGGCCCAGCGGCGCCTGTCCAGCCCGCGCTTGCCCTCCTCCCCGGGCCCGGCTGGATCCGGCCCCGGGACCGGGGGATTCTTCGCCGCGAGCCCGGTTCGGTCACCCTCCTTCGTGCTGGCCTCCCCCGCGCAGGATGGCGGCCCGCGGCCGATGATGCGTCAAACATCCAGCATGTCCCTGACCGAGGCCCTCGGCACCTCCTCCATGTCCCTGAATGCCATCCTTGGCGGCGGGCCGCTGAGCATGTCGGGCGAACTGGGCGACTCGGCTGAGTCGCTTTTTGTGCCAGAGGTGAGTTGCTTGCGGCGATCGCTTGTCTGCTCTCTTCGCGTATCCGGCCCCTTGTCCTGGCCTTCTGCTGCCGGGCTTCATCCCGCCAGGCGGTCTATTGCCACTCGTACTCACGCGCTCCCCTGCCCCCCCTCTCTCTCTCTCTCTCTCTTGCTCCTCCTCCTCCTCCCTCCCCTGCACGGGCCTTAGACGTCGGCTGCGCTGGACTTCGCACAAAAGGCCGCCCCGGCATTTGAGCGCCTCTGCCTCGGGCTTGGCCTGTCACACTTGGGGTACTTCTGTCCGGAGCCCTTCCATCTGATCCACAAGAATGCCACAGTCTACATGTTTGTCCGCCGGGTGGCCGACCCAGACGCGTACCTGCGACAGCTGGAGGCACACCGGCGCTCGGGGCACCTGAAGTGGCGAGCCATCGGCCGGCTGTCGCATCGTGCTCTGAGCCCGGACCAGCTCCTGTGTGAGTCGGCCTTGCGGCATCGGGCGGCGGCGGCGGCCGCCGCGGTCGCCGCCGCCGCCCCCCGCGGCGTCGGAGTCGGCCATCCGTCACACGGACCGGGCTCCGTCGGCAGCGGCGCCTCGTCCTCCTCCTCTTCCTCGTCGGCGGCCGACCACCGTGGATATGGCTTGCAGATGTTCGGCCAAGTGGGGTCCCGTTCGCCCGGGCTCACGCCGCAGGGCCAGCTGGCGCACATGTCGGCTGCCGATGCCACACGGGCCGCCGAGCTGTCGGCATCCATGCCGCTCTACCTGCGGCCGATGGACCAGATCACGGCCGGGTGCGCGGTCTCCTCTGACGGCCTGTACGATCCGACGTGGCCTTTGTGGTCGGAGCACTCGCAATTGAGCACGAGTGCCCTGCGTCGGCTGCCGGCCGGCCTCTATGTGGGGCTGCTGCTGCATGGCGCGGGGATGGTCTCCTCAACCGGGTTCTTCCCCGTTCAATCGATGACGGTCTTCGTGCCGCGCTACCACCGGGAGATGATTCCGGTGATTCGGGTGCGCGATGAGGCGCGCATCACCCCGGCCGAGTGGGACTGCACCACCTCCGGCCGGTACCCGCATGACGCCGCGTCGGATGCGCGCCTCGGCGCGCATGCGGCCTCCATGATGGACCTCAGCGCTCTGACCGCCGGGGGCGCGGGCTCCGGGAGCCCGGGCTCCGCCTCGCTCGATGAGTATGCCCTGCAGTTGGCTCGGGCCGTGCGCCGGCTTCAGCGCCTGACCGGGATCTACTTCGACCCGCAGCGAGCCCTCTACTCGCCGGGCCCGGTGGATGTCGACACGTCGGGTGTGCTGGCCGCCATGTCCGGTGGCAGCGCCGCCAACGCCGGATCCAACAGCCCGGAGCTTGGTGGCGCCGGGACCATGCATTCGCCTGCTTCGGGGGCCTCCTCCTCTCCGGGGACCGGTGGCCCGGGGGGGACCCGGCCAGCCAGCATCTCGGTCCCCGGTGGCGATCACCATCCCCCCTCGTGCATTGGCTGCCCGAGTTGCGGCCGTGTCCGGGTGATCCTCTTCATCCAGGAGGCCACGCGCGAGATGCAACTCCCGGCGGCGGCCCCTGCGCCCGGGGCAGGCTCGGCACCCGGTGGCCTGGCCGGTGCCAACTCCCTGCCGACATCCCGGAGCCCGGGCGCTGGTGGCCCCAACCACACGCTGCTCTACAGCGATGAGGAGGAGGCCCCCTCGGGGTCGGATGTGTCGGCCACCGGGCCGGGCCTCGGGTTGTCGGGGCTCGCGCCATCGCACCGTCGTCGCCAGGTCCCCGCGTCGCACATCAGCCCGGACTTGGTGCCTGTGCCGCTGGCTCTTTTCGAAATCGCCCACCAGCATGTGTATCGCCATATGCAGTTTACCCCCCTGCGCCGGGCCACCATTCGCCTGGAGTTGGCCATTCATGGGCTCAACCAGCGCCTGTTGAGCTTGGGTCAGAAGCCGCCGGCTGGGGCTTCCTCAAGTGCGGTCGAGCGCTTCCACACCGAGCGCGAGGCCCTGCTCGGCCGTCTGGGAGCCCTGCGCGAGGAGTTGGCCTCGCATCGGGATGCCTGGCGTACATGCCAGTCGGCTTCCTTGTCGCCCTCGGAGGAGAGCACCGGCGGGGCACAGGCCGCCCTCACGGTGACCGGGGCCTCCGGCGGGACCACGGTCTACCCCCGGTCGATGGCCATCGACCGGTCAGCCACCGCCAGCAGCCTGGATCTCTCCGCCCCGCCGGCCGATGTCCCGAGCGAGGCTGCCCTGGCTGATGCTTCCTTCTCCGGGGTCAGCTGGTCTTTGCGAGCGCTCGACTGGGAGCGTGACCGAGTTTGGAAGGAGAGCGGCTTCGGCTCACTGTCTCACCCGATGCTTCATTAGTTGCTGTCGGTCCGAGTGCGTGAGCCTGTGCGTGTGCGTGTGCGTGTGCGTGTGCGTGTGTGTGTATGTTTGCGCATGGAGCGGGACGTGTGCCCTCTCTGTCTCCCCGTGCATCAGCATCTGCACCCACATCCATGTGCATGCGCACATCCTCCCCGGCCTTCCTCTTGCGAATGCCTTGGGTCGGCAATCGCGCGCGATTTTGACCTCTTTTTCCTCCAGCGCGCGGTGCCTGGCCTTCTCCGGGAGCCACCCTTGTCCTTGTATTTCCCCCTCCCTTCTCTCCGCAACTTCCCTTGTCTCCTCCCTTTCCCCGTGTCCCCTTCCTTTCCCCTTGCCTCCTTCTCTGCTCGCGGGGCAAATGTGCGCGTCCATTTGCGCGCATGTGGTCCTGCGCTCGTCTGCCCCCTTTCTCTTTCTCTCCCCCTCCCGCCCCCTGGAACAATATATATATAGATATCTGGCGAAATGTGGCTTTTCCCGTGGTTGGTGCATTTTATTCCATTTCCGCATGTCCTCAACTGCCACCGCTGGGACGGCTTCCTCGCTCTTTGCCCCGAACCGGTGGGGCCAAATCCCGGGATGCCGTCCTCCGGTCCGGATACACCCATGCGATGGCCGTGCCCCTCCCTCTCGGTCTCTTGTGCTCTGGTACACCGGCTGGCCGATCACAGCATGCTGCCCCGAGATCTGGCATCGCCATTTTCCAGGAAGCATCCTTGCCGGAACGCCGGGCACGGGGGTGGGCATCCCTCCTCTGCCTTTGCCTCGACCTACTTTTCCCGCGAACCTCCTCCCTTCGCCCTTCGCCCTCGGATACATGAAGCTTTCCATCGAGTTCCTTGGTGGCTGCGAGCAGCTTTTCGGCGGCGTCTCGCGGTGAGTTTCCCCTGCTTTCTCCCTCCGCCTCCTTCATCCACGCGCGCCGCACATCGCACCCACACACTGCCCCGGCTTGACCCTCGTCCCTCGCGCTCCTGTGTTTTTATTCTCTCGCTCTCTCGCTCTCTCGCTCTCTCGCCCCCCCTCCTCCCTCTCCCCTTTTCGGCCTTGCCTGGCCATCCACCTAACATCCCACCATCCCAGGCTCCTTGACCACGACACTCCCCTTGAGGATGGGGCCACCATTCGGCACCTATTGGCCTACCTGCGCGATCACCACATGCGCGCCCGGCCAGACCTCTTTCTAGATGTCGGGTCGGCAGTGTCCGGTGCCACCACCCTCCCGGCGCCGGGCGCCTCCACCGAGGATGTCGATCAGCAGCTGTCCGTGCGACCGGGCATCATCGTCCTCATCAACAACGCCGATTGGGAGCTTTTCGGCATGGAGGATTACCGCCTACAGGAGGCCGATCGGGTGACTTTCATTTCCACGCTCCACGGCGGCTAAAGCAGGGAAGAGGCACCACCGGGGGCGGAGAAAGATGCAGTATGTGCATGCGCATGCACCCCTGGCGGCATGCTCCCCCCCCCCCCTCTCTCCCTCTCTCTCTCTCTCTCTCTCTCTCTCTCTCTCTCCCCTTGAGCCGAGCGCCGGCACTTCTCCCATATGCCGACGTATGACATGCCAACCCTCTGCCCCTGCGAGCAAAACGCCCCCGCCGAGACAACGAATACACACCCGTCTACTCGGGCTGCTGGAGGGCCTCCGACAGTGGGTCTCCGTTCTTTTGTTCTTTTTTCTTTCCCCCTTCTCCAGATCTGGGCCCTGGCGTGGCCGTGTCGGGGGGGGGCGGGGGGGCGGGAACTCGGGATGGGCTCGGGAATGTCCCGGGCCACCAGCCAGGCAGGGCGGCAGGCGGGGATGGGCGGGGGAACTATGCCCCTTCAGGAAAACCCGGCGGCGCCCTTCTCCAAGACCCATTTTCCGGATTGGGCAACACTCCCCCCTCCCCCCCCCCCGGTGTCTGGGGAGCTTGTGCGACGACCGAGCAGCACCTCGCCCGGACGTCTGCCCCAAAGTCACACCGCGGGCCCCTCGGCCGGCTTGTGCCCCCTCCCTCTCGGCGGCCGGCCACACTGTCGGCCCCGATTTGCAGGGCATCGGCCAGGGCACACCTCCAATGCACAAGTTCCCTCACCAGGAGACCCTGGATCTTGGGCGTTCCCCTCTCTGGCCCGAACTTTGTACCTTTAAGACTTGGGGGACTGATCCACCCCACAGTAACGACAAGTTACTGTTCTTCCCCCCTCCCTGCGCCCTCCTCCCTTGCTACCTCTTCCTCCCCGCCCCCGCCCCCGCCCCCCTCCCTTTCTTCCTCCCTCCCCCCCTCTCCCCCTCTCCCCCTCTACCCGTTCCACCAGCCAGGCCGTCATGAAATACAGCCAGGATAAACTACGCCTCAAGCTGAAGGCTTGCCTCTCGCGACTGAAGCTCCTTTACAACAAGAAGCGCGTGATGGTGGATGCCCAGCGACGCGAGATCGCCGAGCTCCTTCGCAACAACAAGGAAAACAGCGCGCGCATTCGCACCGAGCAGATCATCCGCGAGGATTACATGCTGGAGAGCATCGAGCAGGTGGAGGCCCTGTGCCAGCTCCTCCTGTCGCGCATCCAGCTGATTGACCTGTCCAAGGAGCTGGACGCGTCCATCGAGCAGACGGTCCACACGCTGATCTACGCCGCACCGCGTATGGAGGCCAAGGAGCTGCTCGAAGTCCGGGCCATGCTGATCAACCGGTATGGCAAGCCGCTGGAGCGTCTTGTGCGCGAGAACAACATGGATCATGTCAATGAGCGTCTGGCCACCAAGCTCAATTTCCAGATCCCCTCGCGGCAGCTGGTTAACCGCTACCTGAGCATGATCGCCGACACCTACAACGTTGAGTGGACCTGTCCGCCGGACATCGAGGACCCTTCCAACTCGGTGAGTTCCCTGGCGCGCGCGCTCTCTCTCTCTCTCTCTCATTCTTGCACGCACGCTGCCCTTTTGCCCTGCCAGATGCCCATGCCCCCCCCCCCCC